GCACCTCAAAATTGTCCAAAATCCAGGTTAGCTCACTTTGGTCCTTTATGTTTGAATTAAAGGCAAAACGGTCCTCCAGTGACCGTTTGTGAAAGTGCATGAAATTTCAGTGACCGTTTCTACAAGTTTTGAACTTCAGTGATCGTTTTGTTATTTTTGCGTAAGTTCAGTGACCGTTTGTGAAATTAACTCATATCTCAAAAGTCAGTGATTTAGGCGAAAAAATTTAAATTGATGGCCTTTGTTCAACGGTATGTTAAAACTTCCATTATAGCCTGCCTGCCTGCCTAGTTAGTAAATGCAGGGTTTTGTTGAAAAAAATAAATGCAGGTTCTCATGGTTAGTCAAAATTTACAATAATTGCCATATGCAGAACTACCAGCTTTATCAGTAAGTTGTTGTCAGTTAAAAATTAAATTTATGATAAAAATTAAATTTTTAATAAATTTTGATAAGATGCAATGGAATGTATTATTTAAACATTGATAAAAGATTTAAATCTCAGCTGAAATTGAGTTTAAGAAAAAAATAAATTTTAAAAAATGGAGGCATGAGGCTTCGTATCATTGATATTGTTTGAGTACCAATCATAAGTAATTTGGAGGATGCTACTTGTATAGGGACAACTGACCTTGTAAGCTTACAGGGGTACATCCTCCTGTAAGATTACAGGGCCACACAGGGGACGCATGTTATCTTGTAAGCTTACAAAGTCTGTTGGCCCGACTCTATACAAGTAGAATCATTCCAATAATTTTTGTCCGCAATTAGGATTGGAGCTTCAACAATAATGCTGCTTGCATAGAGTTAACTGACAAGGGCTTTTACAGTTGTTGCGTTGTGTAAATTTTTTTTTCTAACTATCCAATGAAATAAAGACACGTGTTCTCATTGTAAAAAATTCTGTGCTTGTAGCAGGGTTTCGAGCTTCAATTTCACTTGTAGATTCTGCGTATATTACCATTTAAAGGATATAAACATCAGTGTCAAACAATCATTCATTGTACTCACAATGATATTTCATGTTTATTTGTGGAAACTTGGCGTTGTTTGAACCTCATTTTTTATTTAGAATGTATTTTGAAATAGTAGATTGATGGAGAATATGTGGTTAAAAATAAAAGAAAAGTTTTTGAGTTGTGTGTAATATGGTTACATCTGTATCATGCCGCAATCGAATTAGTTGGCTTCGAGTTACAGATACTTACATCCCAGTAGGCCAATTATCATCCCTATGACTCTTAACACTTAGCATAGTCCGAGATCAAGTTAAGGGTTTTCACTGAATTCCATAACCTGGGACAACTATACATAAATTTTAATCCAGAATCATAAATTACGAAGTAAGGTTGATAAAATGGCAAAAACAGTGCATCTTACATACCGTCTATATAATTCACATTACAATATTCAATTCATTACTCAATAATGGATGCAAACTTACAATTCAATGATATGTCCAACACACGAATTCCTCTACGGTAAAAGCAAAGGACTGCCTTCATATTTCGAAGAAGCTAACTCTCTCTCCTTGCTTTTAGCATAGACTAAGAGCCCGTTTGACATGACTTTTAAAAAGTTAAAATAGTTTTTGAGATCTAAAAGTTGTTTTTGGACCCATTTGGCCAATTTTATGAAGTGTTTTTTCAATTAATAGAGCTTTTAAAGAAAGTTAGTCCAGTATGACTTTCTCTAAAAGAACTTCCTATGCGTAAGTGCTTAATGACCTATCATCTCCTTTCCCAGTCCCATCCTGCCACAGTTCCACACTTCCACTTCACGGTGACCGGCTTACATACATATCTCTGAATTCCACAGGAGCCGGCACGGGCGGCCTCACCGGCTCGTCGGGTGCTGGCTTTGTCCATGGATACAGTCCATGTAGAAAATAGCTGTTAAATTTTAAAATCATCTTTTGCAATTTCTTTCATGGTCAGAGGGCTTTATGTATCTGTACAATGGTCTCGAGAAGATGTATTTCCGTTTACTTTTTATGTACTTCCATTGAATTATAATTTTAATATTTACTTTTATGTGCTTCTACTTGAATTTTCTGAACTAGTAAGCCACATTCTACTTTACAGGTGGAGTAAGGGAATCTTAAGCTTGATCTTGTATTTACACAACTTGGTATAGAAATTGGAGTTTGATGTACACAAGCTGGATCTTAATGCATTGGTAAAACGAATAATTGATCAAGAATTATTGCCAAATGCTAATTTCAGTTTCTTTTTCTCGAGGCAGTTTTGTTTAATACAGATATGCAACTAAACAATAACTTGAAGCTAGACCCAAAGAGTTGAACTATAAAACTGAAGATATTTTTCCAAATTGGCCAATAAACAATCTAAGAAGCCTAAATTCAATGGAACAATAGTGTCATTTGCTGCTCGGTTGCACATTTACTTGTTCTCTGGTCTCAACGACCTGCTTTGATCTGTATTGGTACCGATGTGCTGCGTACAAGAATGCTAAAAAATTCATCACACTCAACACTGTAAGAAGCCAGTAGAAATAGTCGAATCTTCCAGTGTTTATATTCTGAGACAGCCAGGATTGTTGCCTTTCCTCTGAGTTCCTTGTTATAGACTTGACAATGCTGTTCAGTATAGTGGCTGCAAAACAACCTAATCCACCAGCAACAGCAGCATAAGCTGATCCAATGCTTCTCATGGCATCTGGTGCCTCTTCGTAGAGGAATTCGAGCAGCCCCACGATGCAAAACACTTCAGCAATCCCTATCAGGCAATACTGGATTAACAACCAGTATGCACTAAGGTTGGGCATGGGAGTCAAAAAACTGGCCTCATATCCTTGTTCTATGGCATAATGTCTTCTATACCTCTCGAATACTCCAGCCCATGCCACGGATAGGATTGAAACTGCCAAACCGATGCCTACCCTCTGAAGCTGAGATGCTCCATGAGGATGACCTGTGATGCGCCTGGATAGTGGGACAAACACAGAATAATATAGAGAGAGTAGCAGGAATATGCTGAGTCCTGGAAAAACTGGCATACACGTGACGGGAAGTTTTAAACTGCCCATATGAGTGTTTAATGTATATGCCTGCTGTACTGACAGAGTTAGAAACTCTGTTAAGATGAGACTGAGCAAAATAGTGCAAGCTGGAATTGGAACAAGTTTTAGAAGAATTTTGACTTCTTCAACTTGTGTCACAGTGCAAAGTCTCCAAGGACTTGGAGTTGCACTATCTTCCTTCAGTTGCAGAGCAGCCTTGTCCAAGCATCTACAGGCTCAAAAGTCCCGTATAAGATATGTTAGTTATAGGCAATCGATATACCAGCAAAAACTATAGGGATATTGAAAATCCTAGTTACCTGAAATCATCAGTGTGGGCAATCTTGTTGCTGCCTTTTATGGCAGATCTTTTGCCTGGGAGCTCATACAAGCCTATGTACTCGCTACTCTCGAAAGAGACATTTCTCTTTCGAAACGCAGCAACTAGGACTTGGGCGACACGGGTCAGAGGGCTGCCACCAGGCAGTCTATGCCTATACAAAGGAGTCCCAAGAAAGAATAGCAAGTTCGACAGGCCCATAGCAATGGCCAATGAACCAAAGGCAGATCCCCATCCGTGTTTTATTTGAATGTAAACTACTGCAGTGAAGGCGACAATTGCTCCAACAGTGACAGAGAGATAGAAGAAGTTGAAAAACTTATCTAGGTGTGCCTTGTAGTCTCTACTACTTTCATCAAATTGATCAGCTCCAAATGACGAGACACAGGGCCTAATACCTGCAGCTCCAAATCCAGTCACATAAAGGACTGTGTAGAGGTAAAGCATCTGCCACGATTTCGCAGGTTCACAATTACCCAATAGAAGGGCAAATTGATCACACTGGTCTTGATTTGGTATGAGGATGTTCATGGTTGCACACAAGGTTATCCCTGTTAGACCCTCCAAACAGATAAAATAACAAATACATAAGCTCCTTATCCCATTCAAAGATTTAATTTAAATGGATTTTCACAGGTGTTAAAAGCTAATTACCACAAGATAGATTGTGGTAAAAATTGCTATCGTCCAATATCTACCAAGATATGCATCAGCAAGGAAACCACCAAGCACCGATGATGCTTGCGATATTCCTAAAAAATTATTAACTGCATTGGCTGAACTTGAGAAAGGACGATGCATAACATAGAACATGAATGCTACCATGTTAACAGAGAGCCCAAAATAGGCCATTCTCTCTGCCATTTCATTCCCTGGAAAAACAAAATGATTATCAAGAAGCTTTGGTAGCACAAAAAACTTAAAATTATGTGATTATGCATCAAAAGGACGAGAAATTGAGAATATACCAAAAATGAAGAATGCTGCAACCCAACCACCAGTCTTGGACAGGTTAGAAATAGGCTTTCCGTGGATGTTAACAGGTGTAGCTCCTCCGGCGGCTCCCATGTAGCCACCACCAAAAGCAGTCCGCCTATCATCAGACTCAATGAAATAAATTCCCAGTTTTTTTCTCTTCTGAGACTCAGAATTGGGTTGAACAATTGATGGAGTCCCCGGTACGACTTCAGGCGACTTGATTTCTCTACTGGCAGAAGCATCCATCCCTCAAGTTTAAGAAACTCGAGTAGAAAAAGCAAGTGTAGCTTGTGATTGTTGAACAACTTATATAGAGTTGTTCATAAGAATCTCCGAAAAGAATGAATAACAAGAAAGGCCATTTTTTCCCTACAGTTACTCACTGGAAAGAGTACTAATGCTCCCCATACACATACTATTTATCATCGTCTCTGTAATAACTAAAAACAACAATAATAGTGACAATAAATGCTGACAATAAAGAGGGATCCAACTACCATGTAGATGGAAAAAGAAGGTGAGGAAATAATAATAAATGCAGCAGCTGTTTAGGAGAAGGTGGTTGCTTTCACTTCAAGTGCACCCAGCCGTCCCACCAATCTTCACTAGCTGTAGCTTAAGCCTGGCTGCTTAAATTCGAATGGACCCAAGTGTACCCTCTACCTTAAAACACTTCGCTATCTTTGATGGCCATTATCTTGAAAAACAAAAATGTTCTCTTATTCACCGTGAAAAGTCTTTATCTTGTCCGTTTAAAAATAATCTTACTTACAATTCTCATATTCAAACAGAATCGTGAGTATGGTTCTCCTGTCTGCTTGAAAAATCTTATCTTGTCTGCTTGAAAAGAATCTTACTTACAATTCTCATATTTGGACATATTTGTGAGTATGGTTCTCCTGTTATATCAGGAAGTGGGCAGGAGAACAATTTCATTTTCAAAAAATATAGAGTTTTGAATAGTGATTTTTTAGAAAATGTGTCATTAAAAAGTAAGAAATTTTTTTAAATTTACGTACAAAATATTTTATTATGTAAATATTTGATTAAAAATGAGTAGAAGAATTAAATTTTAAAGGAAGACAAACCTAGTGCTTCATTTTTTTTCTTGTCAAGTCATGTGCTAAACAGTTTTATTTCATTTTCATTTGCATTTGACGTACTTATGAAACAATTATATTATTTACGTACTAAGGTCTAACTTTCTTTCAAAATGACAATTTTCCATACGTGTCACGTTGCACTCCTCAATTTCATTTTCGTTATCGTATTTGTAACAGTTATAGAAGTTATTTGACATTCAATAAATCAATTTTTTTTTCTCGAATTCATTTTCAACTATACATTCATACAATAAAATATTTCGCACGTAAATTCAAAACATTTTTAACCCCACGTTCGGCTCTCTTTAAATTAAAATTTTTTAATTTATCAGGCTCAATTTTCAACAACATATTTACATAATAAACCCAAAACTTTTTTATACCCACATTCTCCAAAAAATTACTATTCAAAAATTCATTTTTCCTCAATTTCTCTCTATAACGACCATCAAGCAGAGAATTATTTTAACCACATATTTTTCAATAAATCATTATTTCAAAATTCATTTTCTCCAAAATACTCATTTTTATAGATGTCAAACATGGGCTAAATTTAAAAATTGTTACACATGTAAGACAATAAATGAAAATGGTCCATGACTACTATCCAACTAATAATTCAATTACAAAGATTTGACATCTGAAAGGTTAGCTACCTGTTATTGCCCCGAAATTGAAGGCAATGATTTTACTATGATACCCTTTTTCATAATAGTCGGCACGAACCAAAATAGGTATTCCAAAATTGCCCGCAATCATATACTTCTCTTTTATGGAAAAGTGTATACTTTTTTGATTAAGTTTGACGCCAACTAATAAGTTTTACATTTATTATAGACCGTAGTCTTACACTATGGCTAGTCGTTAAGCTTAATTTATGTTGAATTGTGTGTTTTTCATTGATTTAGGTTAACTTCGAGTTTAGTGATAAGAACGTAAGAAAGATTCGAGGCCAAAGTGAAAACGAGCATGGAATGAGGAAGTGAAAATAGTTGCAACAAAAGTGGCTGCTAAAGCATACTGCTCACAACCGCGAGGAATCTCGTGAAAGTGCAATATCTCCTTGACATTGAGCTCGAGCATGAGACCCCTAGGCGTGCTATCGTAGTCCGATTGGGAGATTAGGATATACTCTTATGATACGTGTGATCATCGAATGAATTTCTTGTTTAGTTCACGCGTTTGTATATATATGTTGTAATTTACATAGATATTGTAAATTATCGTATTTAAAGTATGTTTGATTTTATTCAATAGAAACTATTAAAAACCTTGGAGGAATTCGCCTGGTAACACTTGAAAAGTTGACAAAACATGATAGGCGAAGTCAAATAAAAAAAAGGTGAAATCAAGAATCCTAGCTCTTTGGATCATCGAATTAATTTCAAAGTGAAATTGTTGAACACTAGTTTATTGATCTTGTTAAACTCAATAAAAACTATGAATAAATTGAGTTTTTAGTTTGTTCAAGTAAAAGTTAGGAATAATTTAGATCGATAATTAATAATACAATCTTTATGGGATTGATACCCTATTCATCACTATTTTACTTATTTCGATATCATGCACTTGCAATTTTAGTTAACTCCTTAATCCTTGTTGTACTTTTCTTTGTCACTTCAGATTCCATAATCACAATTTTATAGTACATTTCAGAAGTTGGAGGTAAAAAATTATTTTGGCCAAAAGTGATTTTTAGAATGAGAAAATTAAGAGAGCCATGTTTTTAAGATTTCGTTAGATTAATCAAGTTCTTTTATATTCTATTCAAATGATTAATAGTAGAAAACCCCTATAAACATTTTCATTTGCGATATACCCTTATCTATTGAAAATTGCAAAAAACCCCCTATTTGAAACATTTTATGCGAAAACATCTCACCATCAAATTTGCAGTTAAAATAGTAAAAGTATCAAAATTAAAAAGTAATCATTGCAATTTTAGTATCCAAACTTTTTATTCTTTTATAGATTATACCCAATTTTTTTATGTACTACTCACAATCTCAAACGTTTAAACTTTATTTTTCGTCCCACCCCAGTTCATCTTCTTGCTCGAAATTTTATTGTTTTATTTAATCACTTCCAAACCTCTCCTAAATCCCTCACCCCAAATTCCTCATTTCTTCTTCTCATTCCCAAGATTAGAAATATCTACAATATCCACCTTGGAGTTGAAGTTCTGTTAGGAATATCATGAGTTGTTAAATTCCTCTGGGTGGCGTTCCCTTATTAGCCTTCAAGAATTTTCCTTCTCTCGTCATTAGTTTCACATAATTCCCTTCTTTTTGCATGCTCCCATTCAATTGAAGTGGTCATTTTTGTTGCCGGAATAGTTTGTAGAACCTTTTTTCCGGTCATGCCGATAAGAAATGACTCATCTACTGTCGTGAGGTAGCAACCATGTCATCTCTTAAGGTGGATTACGGTGTTTTTGCCTTCGATACATTCAACTATCCATCGTGCCTTGTGTGAAGTACCGTTGGGTGTGTGTGAGGATCTATCTTGGTAATGGGAAGAAGAAATAATGAATTTGGAGTGAGGAATTTAGGAGGATTTTGGAATGGGTTAAATAAAATAATAAAGTTTTGGGGAAGAAGATGAAGTGGGCTGGGGTGAAAAATAAAGTTTTAAAGGTTTAGGATTGTGAATGATACATAAAAAAAAAAATTGGGTATAATTTTTAAAAGAATAAAAAGTCTGAATACTAAAATTGTATTTATTACTTTTTAGTTTTGACATTTTTACTTTTTTAATGGCAAATTTGACGGTATGGGAGTTTTTCGCACAAAAGGTTTCAAATAGGGGTTTTCTATGATTTTCAATAGGTATGAGGTATATCGCAAATAAAAACGTTTTTAGGGAGATTTTCTGCTATTAATCTTTTATTCAAAAATTAGGTCTTAAAATGTATTCTTAGGTAAAATATATATTTTAAACTATATTGTAAAATATATTATACTTTTATTGACAGATGAAGAGGTGCCGTGCATTTTGCCATTTGATTTAAATAAACGTAATTCAAATCAAGGGTCAAAATGTATGTCACCTCATCATCTGTGAAACTTTCTATCAAATTAATTGTACATGTAGCATAATTGATAATACTCATCCCAAATAGACAAAAATGTGTTAAAGAATCCCCGTAATTATTTAATTATTTGACAATGAAACCAATGTAGTGTGTTGGTTGCTAGAAGACCACCAGGTTATGCCTTTATCGAGTTCGAAGTTCTGGTCCGGAGGGATAATATCAACCACTTGATGTCCATCCGATGGATATGTTATGCATATCTCATACACTACTTTTCTTTTCGTATATTTTTGCTTACAAACTGGATGTCATAAATCTGTGAGTCTAGAAATTTATTTCGGTCAATTGAACCTTCTCAAACTATTTCTTTTTAAGAACCAAAAATATTTGTGCCAAAAGTCCTTGA